ACAAACTACTGGAGGAAATCTCACCATTGTGGGAGGGGCAGAGACACAAACTACTGGGGGAAATCTCACCATTGTGGGAGGGGCAGAGACACAAACTACTGGAGGAAATCTCATTCATGTGGGAGGGGCAGAGACACAAACTACTGGGGGTAAACATCGAAAAAATAGGGGAACAAAAGGAGTTACGCTAAAAAAAACAATTGTATATACCAATCTCCAGGGTTTCTTTGTCTAGGCCAGTGTTCCCCAACCCCCGGTCCGCGGACCAAATGGTACCGGGCCGCACAGTCTCAGTGCGGTCCGGTCATGCAATATATGGCAGTGCACGGTCCCAGTGTTCGAACACCGGGGCCCCGCACTGTGGGGGAGATCTCACCATTGTGGGAGGGGCAGACACACAAACTACTGGGGGGAGATCTCACCATTGTGGGAGGGGCAGAGACACAAACTACTGGGAGGAGATCTCACCATTGTGGGAGGGGCAGAGACACAAACTACTGCAGGGAAATTTTAAGATGGCCCTTTTTAATACAGGCAGCTGACGGCCTCTCACCTTGGCAGACGGAGAATTCCTCATGATGGAGGTCAGAACGCCGATAGCGTTCACCGTGATGGAATCTGAATCGGAGTCGATGACCTAAACCGTAAGCAGAGGAGGAATAAATGACCGGAAGATGATAACTTAGTGACTTGGAAAGACCGGCCACCACCACCACCATGCGTCATCAAATCCTAGCATGCCGAATCACAGCACGATTCCAGGAAGCCAAGACACAGCGAGCCGCGGCCCTCCACCACATGCAACCCATGCCAAATTCCTACAATACATAAGCAGTGTGCTGGTTCCTCCAATCACTGATGACGTTAAATACCAGATAACAGGTCAGAGCCACACTATGGAAATCCCTATGCTCCTTGGCTCCATCTAGTGGCGGGAATGTCACGTCAATGGCACTTGCCCAGCTCATGCTGCGCAGATGTATTATAAATCAACCCCTTAAAGGGTATGTCCACCCCAACAATGAATTTCTCCAATTTGCTCCCTTTTGTTCTGATCAATACTCCATTAAAAGTGCGTTGTTAATTCTGTTCCAGAAATGCAAAAAAAATCCCTGCTGATCCTGCCAAAAATCCAGTGAGCTGATAAGAGTGCAGCACAATGAGCACAGGAAGTTATCAGTTACAATGTTCCCATCTCTCGCTGTGCACCACAGAAACGCGACCCTGTACGTTATGGTGGAGAAAAAGAGGTTCTGTAGTCAGAACACACTTCCTGTCCTGGGGTGACAACTCTGCTCTGATCCGTGGATACAGTGCTGTGAAAGAGTGTTGTCACCCTAGGACAGGAAGTGTGTTATTGGCAGGATCACCAAATTAAAATAATGGAATGTAACTAATGCAGCCGGTAACCTGCAAGATAACCTGGTTATATCCGATTGATAAAAAAAAAAATACCTTCTGATCCTGCCAGAAATCTTGTGAGCGGACAACTTCCTGTGCTCTCTGATTCTGCTGCACTGTTATCAGTGGCATTGCTCCCAGCTCTCTCTGTAGACTACATAACATCCCCCCCCCCCATATCTTATGGAAATTAAGATGGGGGCGATGTTATGTAGTCCTATCCTAGGGTGACAACACTCTACTTCTTTGATACTGTACAATGAATAAACGTGGTCACCCAAGGACCAGAATTGTGTTACTGGCAGGACCACCAGGTGAAAAGAAAAGAAAACGAATGCAGCCGCCACATGTCAGGACCGGTATTCCGCAATACATCACACATTAGTTTTTTTGGGGTTTAGATACAATTTAAGTCTACACAGCGGAGCCAGTCACAGGAGGCTACCGTGTGCTGCTCTATGATCAGATCACATGCAGCCCGTTCATTCTGTGTCTCTCTCTCTCCAGCAGGATAAATTATACATGAAATGACATTGGCACTTCCTATTGGATGCCGGAAATGTATAAAAGAGAACATTGTATTCCGCCCGTTAGATACATTTTATATTCATCACAACTGTCACAAGGGTTGCTGATCACCGAGCGGGCCCGACGTGTACATCACACAGAAGGGAGGACGCGGCGCTGGAGAGAAGGC